CCCACTCGAGGACCTTCATCTTCAAGCCAGTGTACTCCTGGGGACCAACTCCTTCGCCCTCAGCTCGGTCGTGGTCCATGCAGGGCTGGCCATCCTTGATCGAGTAAATGGTGTATCTCTTGCCGAATTTGATCTTGTTGAGCTCCTTGAGGCGAATCATCTGCCAGCGAACGAAGGCATCAAAGTAGGGGTTAGCCTCGGTGGTGATGAATGATCTACGCCAGTCTGATATCGATTAGCTAGTGTCATTGCGATGACCATTCGACTTGCAACTGACCGATTCTGAAGCCAAGGCTTGTGAGATCCTCCTGAGCCAGAGGGGGGAAGAAGTCCAGCCAGTATGATGCGTCGGCAAAGAGGTGAATCTCTTGTCTTGGGATGCCCATGGCCTCCATGATTTGGAACTGTCTGTCTGTCAGTGACGTGCAACATGGAGCCGAGATAACCAATGCATACCTGGTACTTGGCTTTGATAGTCTTGGCATTGGCCTTGCTCTTCTTGGTGGAGAACTTGGTGATGTCCTCGCGGGCCTCCTTAGCATCAGTAGGCTTCTCGTCAACGACAACCTCGTCCTCCTTGTAGCCCTCGAAATCGCGGCCGAACCAGGCAACCTCGTTCTTGAGCTTGTCGGCAACGGCCTTGATGGGCATACCGGTCGCGTGCCATCCCATGGGGAACAGGGCTCGCTTTCCCTGCATACGAGCGACCTAGAACAATCCATTAGCTCACCCCCCTAATTGCATCATTGCGAGAGCTCTCTTACACCAGCAGCGAATTCGACCTTGCTCACGGAGAACAAGTGGCCGGCGTGAAGACGACCGTTCATGTAGGGGAAAGCCATACATCCCATCCTGTTTACTTGTCAGCCTCCATTCCTCAAGTCATATGTAACTGCACCGTACCATTTGGGCTGTTGCTCGCGCAGCTCAGCAGCGGTAATGGAGTGCAGGGGAACCTCCTTGGTGGAGGGGGCGTCGACCTCGAAGATCTTGTCCTCTGACCACTTGCGTTGGTACTTCTTCTCAAGAGAGATCAAAAAATCACGCTTTTCGGTTCCCTTGAGCTCCTTGGTCTTGGAAACCTGGAGGGCCTCGAGGGCCTTGGCAGCTTCGTTGGCCATGACTGTGGTTTCTCGTTCGATTCGGTCAGGAATTGTCGGGGAAGGCAAATACGCAAGGCCAATTCCAGGACCAATGCGTATTATAGGATTCGACGGTGACTCTTGCGCCGAGAACTGAGAGTCGCGCTCGATATCGCGGTGTCGCTGGTGCTCCTTCGAGATAGCCGCTGTCGAGGATACTGAGTCACAGATCCAAACGTGGGGGAGATTTCGTCGCAGCTCCGATGTTTTTTTCGAGGCTGAGTGTGCCCCGCGATGGCTTTGGTGGTTTTGGCGGGGTACTGTCGGGTCAGTGGTCACTGGCCGATGTTTGAAGCGCTGTGGCGGTCGAGTCCAATACGCGGTACGTACTACTTTAGTTCCCGGTCTTTCGCCGGCGTCTTAGGGGTGCCAGGATAATGTGGCTGGGTGAAATCCAAGAGCAAGTGCCTGTGGCACATGGTGTGGCTGAGAATCTTGGTGAGCTTCTCCAGTCGCGCGAAGGCCTGTAGGCATATCCTCGAGATCCGTCATGCCCATAACCTCTTAGGAACTGCCATCTGCAAATCAGACCAACTGATCCACACCTACAGCCTGAACACACCGAATATGCTTCCTACGATCGTTCGCCGAGCGGCCGAAGCAGCCAGCTCCAAGTTCACAGTCTTCACCAACCCGTACCGAACGAAAAAAGTCTGGCCTCCCAACTTCACGAACCTGTCCCCTCAGTCACAATTGCGATTCGAAAAGAAGTACAAGAGGCGTCTGGCGTTGGTTTATGCGCGACCGAGATGGAACAAGGCCGTTAAGCTTGCGCAGCTTGCCACTGTCATTGGTTCGCAAAGCCTCTCGGTGACTGCTTGCGTTCTATGCTGACTTGCTCTAGGTTTCCTTGGCTGGACATTTTTCTTCTCCGAGCTCGAGTTCTTTGGCAAGGAATACAGGCCGTCCGAAGAGGTATGTGGCCTTGCCGCTGCCAGTTCGAATTGATGCTAACCATTCCCACCAGATCCGAAAGCGTGTGCGTGGTCTCTTTGGCACAATCGAGGCTGACAAGCGATACGAACGTCGCAGAGATGCGCCCGAAGCACCCGCTCCCATCGAGAGCCCCAAATAGACAGATCCTCGGCCGACAACACTGTACCAGCATAGGGAGGAGTTTATGGCGTTTTGAATACCCGGCACAGAAGCCCATGTATAACATATTGTTCGAAAACAGAATCATTTCCCTCTCAGACAGGGGGCCACCCACCTCACCGTCCATGCCAGACAAAGTTACCTCCCATACTCAGTCCGCCTCCTAGTCCGGCGCTGCGCCCTTCGTTTACAGGCCTCTTGGCTACGGTACCTTGTGCGCGCACGCCGGAGACAATGCGATCTAGATTCGTCTCGATGACCACTCCTCCCACAATCATCTCGCCGAGCGTTGAGTGTAGCGTTTCGAAGTTGAAGATGAGGTCAAGCTCGCAAACGTTCTCAAACAGCTTATCGAGTGCCTCGACGTAGACCTGTATCAAATCGATCAGGGCAAGTGGTGACTCTGTCGAGGTCGAGATAACAATGAAGTAGAGGGTCGCGTAGTTACGGTAGGTAACGAGGGAGGGAACGTCGTTCTCTTCTTCCGATGATGAATGTGAGGTACCCGAGGCAGCGAGCAGGGGAGGAAGCGGGAGAAAGTTGCAAGACCCAGCCGGTCGATTCGATACGAGGGTGAATATTTCGGATATCAGGCGCTGCTGCATGCTCGTTTCCTGTGTAGATACGCAAGTCAGCGGTGCTAGGTTTCATTCAGCAAGGCATGCCCAAGCATACCAACTGTGTGTAAAACTTGGTCAGCCGAGGCTGACCTTGGCCGTTGAAGACCAGAAAGGCGTTAATCATTGTGTTCTCTCTTGACTGAGCATCCCGTGTTGGCTGTGATTGTTGATACCAGGGCGTGGGTTCGCCAGTGATGGCCAGGTTCAATGCGACTAGGTGGTAATTACCTAGTGTCCCGCCGGACACTCAATGCGCTTCGCGGTGTTCTGGGCTGGCTTTGGTGGGGTCAGACCGCTGCCAGCCGCCAGACCTTCTCACACCAGCCTGCAGTGAGAAGCTCGAGGTGCACGGCTCGCACCTGCACATGACTTTCTGATGTAATCACACCTGCCTGGACCTCCACCTGGCCCAAGCTCGATTCCTTCCCTTGACCGCGGATCGAAGCTGGTCCTGCAGCTTCCGTCACACCTGCAGCAAACGTGGGGAAGCAACGGAGCTGCCTTTGACCTGCCGTCTTTTACGAAGCAAATCAGTCACCTCTCCGATTCCCTGATCGACAACGACCGCCCGACTTCCTCTTCTTCCACTCACGTCGACCACTCGGCGTCTCAATTCCTCAGCAACATCACAACTAGGTCCCTGTCAATCGCCCATCACCACCCACACCCAGCTACCATGGCTCGCAACAGCATCACCAAGCTCACCGGCGCCGCCGCCCGCTCTCTCCGTGCCTCCACGCAAGCCCGCTTGGCCATCCCGCGCCGCTCTGCCCTGCTTCTAGCCGCCTCAAAACCTACAGTGTCTGCCCCTTCGGCTCGCAAGCTCTTCACAACCTCATCAATCGCCCATCGTGGCATTATGCCCGATACCGATGACCCTCAGGTCAAGGATACACCCAAGGAGGAGGTTAAGATGAGCGTCGTTGAGCTCACAGATGCCGAGTATCACGACCTGTCCGAGAACTACCTTGACAACATTGTTACTCGTCTCGAAGAGATTGCAGATGCTCGTGAGGGTGTTGATGTCGAGTATGCTGTAAGTTGACAGACCGGATCTGACTTTTTCATCCTTGTACCCGCTGCCGCCTTTTTGCGAAGCTCAGGATTTGCCTTTTGTAACCAAACAACGAATCACTAACTCTTACCGATGCAGGCCGGAGTTCTGACGGTTACTTTCCCTGATTCTGGTACCTACGTGATCAACAAGCAGCCCCCGAACAAGCAAATCTGGCTCTCGTCGCCCGTGTCAGGCCCCAAGCGCTACGACTGGGTTGTCGTCGGCGACTCGCAGAATGACAAGGAGGGAACTGCCGCTGGAGCCTGGATCTACACCCGTGATGGCAGCAGTCTGGACGATGTATTCCTCAAGGAGCTCGACATTGACTTCAGCATAGCTCCATCGACCTACGGCGAGAACCAGTCCTAGTTGGGCAAAAGTGGTTCAACAACCAAGGACGATGTTCATAAGCTTTGAGCTCGTGCGGGAGCAGAGACCATTTTATTTCTTATTCATATGGGCGTGAGCAACACATCAAGCTCTTGAGTGTATTCTACATGGCAACAGGGAGTTCGTAGGGTGGCTTCAGGGATTGGGGGCAAGCACCCTCCTTAGGGGGGAGAAGGCGATGCCGAAAGGTCGATATCTAGGCCTGTGTACACAATCTTCGTACAACAAGTGCTCAATCGCGCAGTCCATTCCAGGATTGCGGCGAGGCTAGCGAGCCCAGCATTGAGCAGGGTTCTAAGTGTGACCTAACAGCCCGATGTGAAAGAAGCTGCGTGAAAGTTTGGTTTTGATATCGATCTATTTACGGTAGAAACATATTCCCGTTTAATTTCTCATCCACATTGGTTTGGCCGTAAGAATTGGTAGACCGCCCACTGCTGCCTTGCCCCAAAGTCCCTCACTCTCTTGACGTATTACACCACTATTCATCATACTCATGGCAACAGTGTCTTTGCGGCGGGAGTCTTTCTCTCAGAGTCCGACTCTTTGGTAATAATGCTTAAGCGAAAGTACGGCTTAGCGAGGGTATCGTGGGTCTCATTTCCAATTTCGTTCATCAGACTCGGCGAGGCGCTATCTATTTCGCGCCGTGGTCCTCATACCAGTCTCCCCCGTCCTGTCCTTGGGAGCTGGGTGTTACGCAGGCATTTCGTGCCTCTCAACGGGAGCAGGGAGTTCCACAGGCGGGCCTTCACGCGTCTCAGGCATCTCGTGTACCACGCGCGGTGCCGGTAGTTCGACAGTCTCCCCCGTGTTCTGCGCCATCATCATGGCCGCGTCGTCGGGCTTCTCCGGATCCTCCATGACGGTGTCGAGCGCCTCATCCCGCGCGGCGAGCTTGCGGGCCCTCCTCCTGTTCCAGAACCAGACGAGGGCGACGACGAAGAAGACGAGGCCCGAGGTGGCGCCGACGGTGATGCCGATGATTTGTCCCGGCGCGAGGCCGGACTGCTGAAGGATGTTGTCCGGGAAGGGCGACGAGTCCGAGGTGGTGCCGCCCGTGGGCGTGGGCGTGAATGTGACTGTTCTCCCCCCTTCTGTGACGGTTACGGCGGTCGGGACCGTGAAGCCAGGCCCGAACCTGGATGTTGGGAATGGGAGCGACATGCTGGGCCGCACAAATGTAAAGGACGGGAATGGCTGCGCCAGCTTGGAGAAGCTGGTGTGGGTTGTTTGTTTAAAAAGTGGGAAGACGGAGGAGGATTCATCAGAAAGGATAGAAAGTGAAAAGCTAAGCTTTGCGAAACTTTTGCCCCAATCCTTTGCCCATTCCTTCTTTCCGGCATCCAAGAGAACGAGCTTCATGGTGTCATCGGCGCGGGAGGCGCAGACCTTTTTGATTAAGTCCCCATGTCAAGTCCGACGGCCATGGCGTAGATTTCCTGGCGTTTCTGGCGCCCGTCCCTTGATGGGTGTGTTACATATGCAGGAGGAGTAAGGTGCAGAAGGTAGAGAGAGAAAGCGAGGTGTGAGATGAGGTGAGGTAAAAGTGCGCGATGGGCGTGTGGTGGTGGTTGAGCGCCGCACCGACTCCCGGGCGTTCTGGCGTTGTGTGAGACGAGGGGACCAACGTCAGATCGCAGAGACCGTGTGTTTTTTTGATCTCCGGTTGATGTACGCCACTTTCCCTCCTGCCCAATTCACCAAGACATTTAAGAACCTCTGAGCCCCATTCTCAATCTCCCACCCAGTTCCGGATACCCGACGTGCCCGGCGTGTAGATGAAATTGGCGCGTTTGGCCAAGGCAGCGAGCGCAGCCCAGCACTGCACTCTCTTCTGCGACTGCGACTGCGACGGATTCGTCGCTCATGTCGGTGGACGTCGGTGGCGGGCGGCGCGTTGGGAATGTTTCGGACTTTGACGTACGGTCTACCTAGCTCTCTCGGCATCGGCGCAAAGCCCGAAGTTGAGATGGGGCGCGCGCACCCGCATCCGCACACTGTTCATTCCATCTTTTCAAGGGCGCTTCCTTATTTGCCATGTTGGTGTTCTTCCAGATACCGATACTGTTGACTGGTTGTGTTTTTCTCTTCTGCCCTGCCCGCCACCGGATAGATCGGGCAGCGTTGGATGACTACAGACTTGCAGTTCTTAAAACTGATTTGTTTCTTACTTCTCATGCAGAAAAGAAGCTGCCTGTGCAGCTCATTGTGCGCAAGGTTGATTTCGTTGCATCAGTGGTAAGGAAGTGGAGGATATTGTCCGGTACGTTTTTGCCTTGCTTCTTTACCTCAACCTTTCAGCCTGCATGCACCTCGAGCACCGCTTGAGGGAAGGCGAGCCATTCTGACCAGTAATCTCCCAAATGTGCCGAGACGGAGCGGATGATCCACTGGCCAGCGTCGCCAAAGATCCAGTAGCTGCGACACCAGTGAAGGAGAACGGCGTAGAAGGCGAGGATGACGAGGGCTTCTGGGCGGCGCTGCTTGACGACGTCGATGAAGCCCGTTGTGACGCGGACGCCGAAGGCCATCACGGAGGCGGATTGATGATTGGATTTAATGGCAATGCTGCGGTAGATGGAATAGGACTGCCGCAGGGACTCGGTTGCATCGCGGCAGGCTTGGAGCGAGACAGGGCCAAGGTCAGCTTGGTCGAGCATGCTGTGGAGGATGTCGACTTCGGAGCGCTGGTTCGGGTCGGGCTTATTGGATTCTAGGAAGTCGACAAAGGGCTTGCAGCCGGATTCGCGGATGATGTGCCAGGAACGGCCGGTGACGGTGCTAACGCCGCGGTGGAGGTTGAGGTACCAGGCAAATTGGTCGAGAAAGCCGTTGAAGTCGGTACGGTAGCTGCGGAGAGTGTCGCAGAGGACCTGAGTTCCGAGACAGGAGGCGAAGAGGAACATTGGGATACAGGTGTCGTCGTCGATTTCCTCCTTGGCGTCGTTGAACAACATGAGAGCGCGGGTCTGGAGCTGTGTGGCCTCGTGGTGGTAAAAATCAGCGCGTTGGGGGTTCAGCTCGGCCATGTGCTGGGCAGAAAGGCCGAGGAGAACGTCCATGAGGTAAGGAGCGTTCAGAGCAGCCTCGAGGTTCATATCAACCAAGGGTTTCATGAACTCGTCTGCGGCCATGAAGGTGCCCATACGGGTTTCCAAATGGTGGAGGAGGCGCATATGTTCAAGGGTGAAGAATTGGCCGTTTGGGGGGCTCGCTACGCCTCGGTCGTCCTCAGTGCGCATGACAAAGTCATTTACGACTGTGGTGATGGATGGCGAGGTTGCAAAGGCGGCAGCTGTTGCAGCGGCGGAGGCGCTGTTGCCATTGCTGCCGGAGCTGCCCGCTGGACTGGCGACGAGAGCTGCGGCTGCGGCTGCTCGCTTAGCGGCCAGGCCGGAGGAGACAGCGGAGGAGCGAGCCGAAGCCGGAAGGGAGTCGAGATAGGAGCAGTGACGCTCAGCTGTTGCGCAGTTGACGCAGGTCGGGCGTGTTTCGTCGCATTTTACGTGGCGGCGCTTGCATTCCTTGCATCCGTTGCGAGATTTCCGATGGGCGCGGCGGAGTTTGACGTCGCCTGCTGCGGCCGCCGATGCTGATGCTCCTCCTGGTGTGCTGACGTCGCCGTTTGTCGAGCCGGTGCCGGGGGCGGGTGAGTTGCTGCGTGAGATGTCCATCATCCTCCAGGTAGGTACCTCAAGGTTGAGTTGTCTCGGCCGGTGGGAGGAGAGGGTTGTGGAGGGAGGGGTGGTTCAAGGTAAGTGGTTTGCCATGGGGCCTCTTCGATGAGTAGCAACGCAAGTGAGACGTGGTGTCTGTGGCCGGCAGATGGCGATGGGCCTTCCCTTTGTGATGAAGAACGTGGAAAGAAAGACAATAGACGAGAGAAGAGAAAAAAAAAAAAAAAAAAAAAAAGAGAAGTGTTTGAATTTGAGGAATGATTTTGAGGGATGCGAACCCGAGGAAAGCTCAGCCTTTTTTTGGTGGGGGGAGGGGGGGAAGAAAAGATGACCTACTGAGATACTCCGTAGCTTGAATGGATAAGCTCAGGTCAGTCCAGTTAAGGTAGGAACGGTACCTTGCACTACTTGGGAAGGTACACAGTACAGCGTACCTACCTGCTCTAGAGACAAAGTACAGCAGTACAGAGTCACAGAGTCACAGAGTAAGGTAGGGAAGGCACTACTGAATATGCCTACCTTCCCTCTAGTTTCGAACAGGGGTGCGGCATCTACCGCGCTCCAACATGACTTCAGCGGGTCCAAGGGCCACCAGTGGACGTTAAATACGGGGAAGCAGGTTATGGAACTGAGGGAAGGGGCCATGAAGAGGGTCTGCTACAGGGGCTACTCTGCAGCTTAATGCACCCAAAAATTCCTAAACAGGGCCTTTAGGGGAGCAATGGAAGGTCGATGGACGCTGCGCCAACCAAGTCCACGCGGCCCTTCCCCCTAAATCTTTATGATAGTGTGGGCAGGTGCGTCCACCGACCTGTGTGCCTTCCTTAAAATGCCCGCGCGGTTGTATTAGTAACCACCCTGCAAAACATCTCCGACCCAATGACATCGTCGAGGAAGTCAATTACGCCGGAAATGGCCCGGCTGGCTGAATATCCCAGACCTAGCCTAGAGGAGCTATCCGTCGACATGATGGAATACATGTATTCAGTTCCGTTGGCAAACATGGACACGCAGAAGTTGGTTGAGTCGTCAAGCTCAAGAAAGCATACACCAGGGATTTCGGGCCAACGATTTGCACAACATTTTCCTCATTTATCGTTCTAGTGCGTCTAACGTACGAAGTATACTACTAAGGCAAGGCAGGGTACCCGGCTTTCCGCGGTTGATACCTTATTCCCTCCACCCATCACTATTATTCTGCATATTCCAGCGTTATCTCCGCTGACCTGAATCGCCCAACTCCTCGGGACGATGATCGTAACATGGATCACTGCACTTCAAACTCCGCCGTGTCTCTGTGTCTTCCTTTCCCACAAATTACACTAACAATACTCCGTAGGTGCGCTCGCTGAGCGTCCCCAATGCGAGCCTCCACACCCAATCTCCGCCGGACAAGAAACAAAACAGAAAGAAGGCACTCTCGAATTCTTCTTCTCTATCGCATCGTCTTGCGCATAGAGCTGGGCTGGTGCTGCTCACTCTCCACCGCCAAGTCATAGTTCTCCACATCCGAAGCCGACTGCGAGCCGCCCTTGCGGATCTGGAACGCCGAAGGGAACCGGAACCCAAAGGCCACCATGACGAAGAACATGAGCGTGGCGTCAAAGACGTACAGGGTCCACTCGTGACGGAGCGGGTACCCGTCGCCGCCGAGGACGTACTCGATAAGACGGAAGATGGAACGGACCATGATGCACGCGCTGACAGTGTAGAGCATCCACAGGCCCGACTTCCAGGGCGAGTGGCCCGCCAGAGACGCCTGGGTAGGGTTCTTTGCGAGGCGCGAATGGAAGACGACGGCGGTGACCCAGAAGATTGCAAACAGGACAATCTGGATGACGAGACCGGCGACAATAAGGTTCTGGCCCATCTTTTGACTGCCGTCCTTGACCATGAGACCGCCACCGCTGGCCTGGACGAGGAAGGAGAAGCAGTCGCCGGCGACGAAGATACGGGTGAGCCAGTTGATGCGGATCACCGACAGGGACTCGCCGTGGACGCTGCGGATGATGCGACCAAGGGTCATGTAGACTGATGCCGCGAAGAGGGCGGGCGCGACGAGGATCGTGAGGGATTGCATTACGTAGGGGCCGACTTCGCTGGTGCGGTCGCGTGCGATGGCTCTGCCTGCGTATCCGATGATTTCGACTGCGCAGGAGATTTCAATGTCAGTCCAAGGCCTTGATTCAAGGTAGTAAATGGAGGGTCGGGATTGGTTACGTACGGATACCGCCTATCACGAAGACGATGCAAAACCACGTCTTTGTCCTGGCAATCTTATACGCGTGGAAGAGCGTGACGAGGACGAAGAGGACCTCGAAGATGATGGCGGCGATCAAGCTGGGCACATAATGCCAAAGGTAGTAGCCATTGTGAGACTCGAGGGTAGGCATCTTGTCAAAGCCTTGAGGATTGTCGAAAATCAATTTTCGGTAGTTGGTTTGTCCTCCGCCTTTTTCCCCAGTTCTCAGGTTGCTTGTCGTAGGCTGGGCTTTTCGGCGTATTTGATCGCGAAATTAGGATTGCCTCAGGTATCTGTGACTGATGGGCAAGAATAACGATTGATGATTTGTTGTTGTCGTGGAGATCTCGTCTTAGAGCCGCGGTGGTGTTGACGACGTTGTTGCTGCTGGACGTATTGCCAAGGGCCAAGGGGGTGTCTTGAAGTTGTAGTCCATCTTTATACCGTCCCCAAGGATGGGACATGGGGGCGCTTGGAACTTGTGTTTGCTGCTGCGGCCACCGTATACGCGAACTCTCGAATAAAGTCTCTTTGACGGCATCTCCATACGCGTTTGTCGTGGACAGCAGGCAAAGAGCCTAGATGTGTCTGACTGTCAACGTGCGAGACCCAAGCTTCGCTGATGCCCCCCGGTGGGCCTGGGTCTTCCCCATAAGGATGTATACGTGGATATACCGGTCTCCCATTGGCCCATAGGCCAGAGACCCCTGCTAGCCCTGCGGGCGGATCTCGGTGGACCTACCAACGGGTCGGCGAACCAGGTCCCATCCCATACGCGTACAGAGATTTTGGCTGTGATGTTTTTGCAATCACAGAGGCTGAGGGAGGCATGCCGGGACTCGTCACCCCACCACCATTCTGGCATTCAATCTTTTTCCCATTCGTACGGGTATCATGATGTGTGAGCTCTACCCAATCCAATTTTACCGTATTTCGTCTGATGCAGGGACAAAGCCACACTGATAAGAAATACCCCGTTCGGCAAGCTTACGTACCTCATGCAACCCCTTCCAGTCTGCAGAAGCTGCATTTACGTGTAATTTTTTTTCCTCCAGCAAAACTTGTAACATTGTCACCAAACACGAGGAATCTCCCAGTGTGGCTTGGCCGGAAAAAAGTCCCATCGAACAGCTTCACCGGAACCGCGGCGATCGCGGAGCCATGCATACTTCGTAAAACTACTTGTTTACCTTGCGTGTTTGCCTTTTTTTGCGCTCTCCGTAATTATTTTGCTCTTCGCGTCCTCATTTTTGACTTCTGCGCCATTCCTTCTTGCGATGTAGACGAACGGTAGTCTGTAGAAATCAGGTTACCTTTGAGGCTTAGTCCGGAATCCGGCAAGAACGCTCAGCTGTTTTCGGACTTGACCGGGGTCTCGCTTTCGGTTCGTCTTGGCGTCTGCGATGGATACCTACCGTCTTTCCGCTCTGCCGGAACCTTTTTGCGCTGGCCGGCGGGCGGGGAGGAACAGCGGGAGAAACATCCTGTCGGTATCGCGAACGAGGCAGACTGGGCGGCGGACTTGGCCCAATTTTGGAAGTCGAGATAAGCCTTTGCGTGACTGCATCGTCAAACTCAATCGTTTGATGCGACCATGGGATGTTCATTTCTCGATCGTGAAGGCGTGGCTGTGGTCGCCTTGTTCGACATTGAGTTTTCCTGCTGATATCGATGAATGCTACTGTCACCGCGCGGTGCACTGCCATTACAAGATGACGCAAAAGTACAAGACATGTAGTCGCTTGCTGTACACTTCGCAGCTAGGATACTCATTTTCTTCTCCAAGCGCTCTGCACTTTGACACTCTCCACTCTTCAATAACTGTGCAAGCTAGATGTCTGTCACATCCCGCGTAATTTTCAGTCCATGCAGGTGGATAATGACGACAACTTTGTCATCCTCCTGCAATGCTCTCCAAGCCCGAGACAAGTATTGAAATGGGTCTCGGTGGCTGGCTTAGAACTGTCGGACGGCAGTTCATCTCTATTCTGGGCCAGAAGGAAAAACAGTCTCCATAACCTAGACCTCGTACTAGATTCTGTACAGAGTACTTGACGAAATTTCTCATCCGTTGATTGCTCACTAGTAGATACACGTATTCCGGGGGCGGGTCTGTTCCGAGACCCCAATACGTGGAACCCGGGTACTAGGGCCGTCACACATTGCAAATCTTTATTTCCTCTGCCAACTCCCTTTTCTAGATTTGCTGACGTAAAAGACCTATAGACGTGCTGACTCGACATTTTCAGCGTTCGATGTCTGTAGCTAATTCAAAATTGCATTTTCCTGTAATCGGAAGATATCAGTCTGTCAGGCGAGTCATTGCGAGTAATAACACGTCCACAGCCCACTAGGTAGGATTATACATGGATTCCTCACCTTCTCTTGCTTGAAATACGGCCGCAACGTACAAGCATGATTGAATTTTATACGTCTTGCATGCATGCTGAATGACTCGGCAATAGCAAGAAAATTCGAATTTTTTGTTAAGCCCCAAATCAAACTGCAAACTCTTCACATTGTGCGGAATCTAGGTCCGGCTCATAGACTCACATTACGATAAGTCGATGAAAATAATCTGTAGCACTCGAAGAAAATAAGCTTGTCCTAAGCTTTGCTGTCTGACATTGAGTAAAGGCGAACTTAAAAGCTTGGAGTTCCGCGATGTGAATTTGTGTGGGGATTTCGACTGGCAATAGGGCACAAGGCTTCAACTATAGTGTTGGCAGTGATGTAGAACAGACCTTCAGTTTGACTATTATTTTGAACTTAACTTGATGATAAGTCTCTGCCCCTGACAAATGGGTTCCGTGTGTAGGCTATCCGCAGTGGGTGGTTAGTTATTATTTTTTGTCAAATATTGACTCGACTTCCGTTTCATATATGCATTTACTTCGGACAGCAGTGAGAATAATATGTAGCTCAACCCCCAATTTATTTTGAGAATTATTGAAAATTATTCAGATGGGTCCATTCTGCAGATATCAAGCTAAACTTACTAGAGCAGCGTAGAAGCTTGATCTCGAATATTCTAGACCCAATGTGCAACAACTAGTCACGAATGTTGCTCCTACGACAAGGCTAGCTAGCATGGCAAGTACTGTATTGATTTCAAAGGCAAGAGAAGTGAACTCGAAATTCAAATGAGGCTAATGAAACAGTAAGCTTGGTCTTTGCGGCTTTCAAATGTCGTCCCTTACTTCAAAGTCGCGAACCTCCCGCCAGTCCACGTGAGCCCCCACCTCCTAGAGATTGCATGTGACCGAATGCTGAAACCACCATCTTCACGTGAACAGGTCATCCAAAACGCGGTTATGCAATTGAAAGCGGCCTTCATGCAAGAAGGCAAAGTTTAACGGCTGAGATACTGATGCTTTAAGGGAATACCTCTGAATGTTTAAGCTCGTTTCGCCCCCGTAATATGAACTTACCCGATCCCGACGTCACTGTGCGTGTGGCACCAGATCAACCCCGCCACGCAACAGGGATGTCGCGAGAACATGAAAAACAGAAAAAGCAATAAGCGAATGATGTCAGTACCTCCCTCACTATGGCTGCTGCCCGCCCAACTTTCCTTGACTTCTTCGATATCGAATACTCCCAAAACCTTGCAATAGTCCGCAAGCAAATCCTACCCAGGACTGTCAGACCTGCACGACTCGCTACCGAAATCTGGGAAGTACTCGACGGCATCCCTTCCTTCACCTTGTTCATTGCACTGTTTTTCGTCCCGACCGTACGGCACAGCGCGGCACAGCGCGGCACAAACTCCACACTTCATCCCACCTCAGCATTCCATTCCCGAGCTCCAGCCTCAAGCCTCCAAAAGCTCCTCTTTGAGAACCTCGCACGGCCACCAACGCCACACTTCACACAATGTCTTCCCCACCAACACCACCCGACGAGAAGCAGACGGAAGAGCAAAAGCAGACCCAAAGAGACAAGGTCCTTGCCCAAGCAACCGCCAAGCTCCAAGAGGCACAGAAAGAGACCGAAGCCGCACAGGCGCTCCGCGAGCGGGCCGAGGCGACCGAGGACCCGGAAGAGAAAAAGAAGATACTCGCCGAGGCGGCAGAGCACGAGAAAAAGGCACAGGGGTCGGCTAAGCAGTCGAAGCGGCTGCAGAGCGGCGTGTGGCAGGGCGGTATCGGCGGCGCGGGCATCGGAGCCGGGTTGGGCACGGGGCTGGGCGCCGGCGTGGGCACGTTAGTGGGGGCTGTTGTCGGCGGTGTTACGGCTATTCCTACGACGGGTTTGGGGCTTTTGGTTGGGGCTGGGACGGGCGCGATACATGGGCCTTGGTACAAGTTGGAACAGGAGAAGAAGGAGGTCGAGGAGGCCGAGGCGAATGGAGTGGACGGGGGAGAGTCGGATGATGGAGAAGGGGCTGAGAAGGCCGTCAAGGCCGGTTGAGACCTAGACCGCAGTTGTGTTTCCTTGTGTTTTGTTGTTGTTTGGCGAGGATACCATCTGATGAGGGCTGTATGATACACGGGCGCCAGCTTTTGCTTATGGGATGCGACAGGGGATCATGGCTTACGACCGAAAATGACCATTGCATATAGCCTTGCTTTCTCTTTTTGTCTTTCCTTCCTGTCATTTTCTTTTTTCATAATACCTAGCATAGCAACAAGATTTTGGGGTTCTTCAAGGGTTTAGATGTTCAAAAAAGAGGTATAGGAAAATACGAGCTATGCAGATGGGCATTCGAGGACGATCCAGAAACATCCTGGCTCAAGTGCAATTGGCCAATACTCGCAGCGAACTGTATCGCCTCTACGTCATTTCCGGCAGCAAGATTGACTTGAGGCTGTTGATTGGCTTCAGGCAAGTAACACGATACGCGCAATTTGGAAATCTAGACTCTGTGGTCATTTGTGATCAAGGATAGCTGAGGTCGGTAATATCCTACTGGAGGCACATTCCGGAACTTGGACGTTATGGAGATAGACTGGATGACAGGTCGCTGTCGGATCATGTTCAGGAAGAAACTTTTATCGACACATCCCCAAGGTAGGACAATCCCTCAGCACAAAAGGTCTTCCCCGAGATGCATAGCTAATGTGGTTCCAATCATGTCATGTGAGATATGCAGATATCGTGGTATCTCTCGCGGACAGTCTTTTATCGGCAGCTACAGGCTCTCAGAATGAGCACGAAAACCAAGAAGACCGTCTCTTCTACTTCCGCCGAGGCCTGTTTGAAGCTACTTATGATGTGCGGCTTATTCGACTTAATCAGGCGCCTTCGCATTACTGGGATCTGAGCCCAAGCTGCGCTCATTTCAAAAATCAGGAAAAGGAGTTCATGGGTGAACCTAGTTGAAATAACGTGGAGTACATAGAAGCTCGATTTGGATGAGCATGAAGGTATCGTGAGAATCAAATACCTATTTTCAGCCTCGCAGGATTCCCCAACTGTCCAGTTATGAGAGAAGCTAGAGCAAATTTTTTTTATCAGATGGACCGAACGCTAGTCCGCATGGTAAACTTGTGCATATATACCACGTTCATCAGTCACCATTTACCTGGCTCAGGATTGGTAATGAAGTTTAAAATTAGACGCGGGCAGCGTTCATCTCAGCATCGGGGCGGTGTTTTGCTGGCAGCCTACCTGCCTGCTCAGCCCCCCGGCTATCAACAAGCTTCTGCGGTATGTACCGCACATGCCTAGGTCAGACGCCAGTTCCGCCATCAGCACGTTCTTTGTCTGCAGCTGCGCGGCAACGGACCACTCACGTCACGGCTCTCGTTCGCCTGAGTGAGATTCTAGCGCCAACAAAGGATCTAGTGCCGCCTAGCAACCACCCAGGTCACCGCCGTCCCGGTTTTGCGTGGTAGGCGGTACATGACGGATGAGGAAACTTCTTTCGGAGAGCTAGTGTTGTTCTCGCGAAGGATGCTGGCAGGTGAGCTCCCCCAGTCGGAGCAGGCGGATCGTGTAAGTGGAAGAGGATGCTTCCGCAGGGCTGTACAACAACCCCGTCAGCTGGGCACGATGACCAAAGACCCAAACTTGTAGCATCACACGATGCTAGAAGTTGCATATAATAAGATGATCTCGCCGTCGAACAGTGTTTTTGTTCTCTCGTCATCACACAGTCACATAAACAACCAAATCAATCTTCCAACTTTTCCTATCTTCTTTCCTATTTTTCCTTATTTCCTAGAGTTTTCTCTCTCCGCGCATTTGGGACATACCTCATAAAAATATTCAATAACACAAAATCAGCCAAAATGTTCTCTATCAAGACCTTCTCCACCGTCCTTTTGGCTGCTGCCGCCACCGTGTCCGCCGCTCCCACCAACACCGCCGGCACCAAGACCCCGACCCGCACCTACGAGCTCACAGGCGTCACCCACTCCGTCGTCGCCGGCCTCGGCGGCCTTCGCTTCGATCCGGACAACGTCGTCGCCGAGGTGGGTGACATCGTCGAGTGGCACTACCTGCCCCGCAACCACTCCGTTGCCGAGTCCAACTTTGGCAACCCGTGCAACCCCCTGGCCGACGGCTCCTCCTTCTTCTCCGGCTTCAACTTCTTTACCCCCGAGGGACAGTCCACCAACGTCTTCCAGATCGTCGTCGAGGACAAGAAGCCCATCTGGTACTACTGCGCTCAGAACGCCGGCCAGCACTGCAAGAACGGCATGGTTGGCGTCATCAACCAGAACTTCGACAGCCCCGACTTCACTCTCGCCAAGCACAAGGCTTTGGCTGCTCAGAAGGGCGATGCCGTCATTCCTCCTGTTCAACAGGGTGGCTTTGTCATCCCCAACCCCAACCCTCTCGGAGGCTTCAAGCTTTGAATATGTGGTCTATAAAGTTTTAGACCATGTGTCTGTGGGAGATATCGGGCTGTCATGGCGGTAATTGCATGTGTATTCTGCGGGTTGCATGGTACGGTTAAAAGGGCATTGCATGTGGCGGCGTTAAATCTTGGGGAACTTGAATTCTTTCGTCTTTCAAACTTCGATCTTTAGCTTATTCTAGATACTTAACATTCTAGAACACTCATTCACTCTCTTAATTACAGCAATTCTTGCGCATTGGTGAACGTTGAAAGCTCTCGAACACGAAATTTGGCTACCAATGAATATTGTACCGCAAGTATGGTTTTCCTAGGTGGCATGTTACAAAAGTCGTAGATACCGCGTACAGTCGCTCATCATGGGAAACGAGATGAGACAGGTTAGGAGTGTCTTATAAGTTAGTCTAGGATGCTTCATGTTTATTCGATTTAGCAACAATTACTGACTCCGCGATTATCTCCTGAAAGTGTCAGCCGCTTGCATATACTAAGCACTTTCGTTGATAAGCGACTTTTTCGGATAGATCACGCCTGTGAATACGACGGCATCATCGGGAAAAGAGCCGAAGACGACGGGTAATTCGTGCGGGGTTAAAGGCGAGAGACAAACCACATATGAACGTTCAACCCCGCTCTAGGATACCTTACTCACCAAAGATGGCATCAAAATCAGACCATTGAATTGGTGGAAGAAATGCAGTCAAATTATCAAGAAATCGTTCTCGGGTTCGCCCATAATTATGCCACAGGCAAAGCCGTATGTTTTGCCGACAGCATCTCTTCGCTAAGATGTAATCTCAAAAAGGGCTGAAGATACAAAAGGCGAATAAACACCCGGGGCTCTTCAGTGCTTAAATTACTGCGGGATGAAATCCGACATCTCCAGATCGATCACGTTCATCTCAGATTTTCCAATGCGACTCTTCAATCTCATCTGGCTGTCAATCGTCACACTGGCGGCCCAAAGCCAGTCTCAGGAGGCCAACAAGACTTTTGACAACCCGATCCTCCCGGGGTGGAACTCTGATCCCAGCTGCACTTTTGTCAAGGACTGGGATAACACATTCTTCTGTACTGTCTCTTCGTTCCTGGCCTTCCCTGGTGTCCCCGTCTACGCCAGCAAGGACTTGGTCAATTGGAGACTTGCGAGCAATGCTTTGACCCGACCGGAGCAGGTACCGGAGCTCTACCGGAACTCGGGCCAGAATGAGGGTATTTGGGCGTCCACAATCAGGTTCCGCGACGGAACCTTCTATCTCATCACGTCTTATGTCTCTTGGTATGAGGGGTGGGGCCCCAAAATCTTACTCTTTACGACCACCGACCCATACGATGATGCCTCGTGGACCGGCCCGCTTCGCGTCGAGAATCCGGCAAATGATATTGACCCAGATATCTTCTGGGACAGCAACAAGGTATACATGTCGGTGGCTGCTGGCATCTACATCAGCGAAATCGATCTTTCTACGGGCGCGGCAAAGGAGCCTATCAAAGTCTGGAACGGCACAGGCGACCGTAACCCCGAGGGACCTCACTTGTATCGCAAAGACGACTACTACTATCTGTTGATTGGAGAGGGTGGAACGGAAACAAATCACTCTGTGACGATTGCTCGCGCAAAAAAGATGGCAGGACCGTACGAAGGAGCTCCGCACAACCCTATTCTAACGGCCAAGAACACCAACTTGTATTTCCAGACGGTGGGACATGCTGACCTATTCCAAGACGCCTCCGGGAACTGGTGGGGTGTCGCGTTGGCAACTAGGTCGGGTCCCGCGTGGGAGATATATCCTATGGGCCGTGAGACTGTTCTCTTTGCCGTCAAATGGGAAGACGGGGACTGGCCGGTACTTGACGAAGTGCATGGTGTGATGAAGGGACCTTTGCCTCTCACAAATAAAGATATCCCTGGCAATGGCCATTGGGTAGACGAGCCAGACGTTGTCGACTTTGCGCCTGGCTCGGATATCCCCAGGCATTTTATTTTTTGGCGACCACCGAAGACAGATTTGTTCACGGTCTCACCAGAAGGCCATCCCAATACGCTGCAGATATCTCCTTCACCCGTCAATCTTTCAGCAACACCAAACTTTAACCCAGAGCAAGATGGTCTCGGATTCATCGCCCGCAAACAGAGTGCTACGCTGTTCAACTACAACGTTGATATTTTATTCCAGCCACAAGTTGAAAATGAGGAAGCTGGCATTTCAGTCTTCTTGACCCAATTCCAGCACATAGACCTGGGCATTGTGAGTTTGCCAGCTTGCTCCAACCAGTCGCTTGTTTCAAAGTTCCGATTCAGGGTCGAGGCATCAGGAAAGCCCAATATTACTGTTCCCGAGACAGTTTTCGTGCCTGTGCCCAAAGCCTGGAAGTCGGAGTCGATAAGGCTCTCGGTATCTGCGATTAGCGACTCCGAGTATGTGTTCGGCGCAGCTCCGGCTTCTCATCCAGAAGAGTATGTCGAGATTGGATCAGCGAGCGCGTTGGTAGTATCTGGGGGCAGTGGCTCATTCACTGGTAAGCCCCTTTATGAGTTTGCTTTTGTTAACGTTCCCGCGATTGACATTGCAATCCTGTAGGCACAATTGTCGGTGCGTATGCTACTAACAATGGCGGTGATGGGAACACACCCGCATACTTTAGTCGGTGGAGGTACACTCCTGTGGCACAGAAGATTGACCAGGATAATCTTGTACCAGTGGCATAGAGAAGGGTCTTCGATATTAATGTCATCACTTTTTCCAGTGTCTAGCGAGAGATATTGCAATGCATGTGCACTCAACGAAGAGATTCTTGCCAACCCCCACTCCCGAATACATATTCTAGTGTGCTGTTTCCAGTAGTAGGCATTCTATTGATTCGGGTGGGGAAGTAGCAGCGGCGGTGATCCGGAGGTGTTTACCGGAGTGGACGGCTTTGAGTGGACCCCAGCAGTAAGGGCCGGCCGAGATCTCCATATTTCCGGCCGCCTGCTATAAACAATCACGTCATCAGAGGGGTCGCATCGTTTTCATCATCATTGGAACTTCACCATCGCCACATAGGTAGGGTACACACAACACCTCATCAACGAAACAACCAAGAGATCGCTGAGTCACAGTCACCGAACATCTTGTAACACTAGTTCACGTTCAAGATTTAGCAACATGGCAAATGTGGACACATCAATCGGCGCGCGTACCACGGGTGCCGCAGCCGACTTCGTAGCAAAGCACTCGGAAGAGCACCCATTGAAGCTCTATGGCGGCTGGTTCTGCCCCTTTGTCCAGCGATCATGGATTGTACTCCACGAAAAACAGATTCCCCACCAGTACATCGAGATCAACCCGTACAAGAAGGATCCCGAGTTCCTCAAGATGAACCCTCGGGGGCTGGTCCCGACGCTGGCCGTCCCCGTGGACGTGAAGGGCAATGAGCAACGACCGCTCTACGACAGCACTGTGGTTTCCGAGTACCTCGAGGAAGCGTACGCCGGGAACAACTACGGGCCACATCTTCTTCCAGAGGCGGCGTATGATCGCGCGAGGTGCAGGCTGTGGATCGATCACATCAACTCTCGCGTTGTGCCGGCCTTTTACAAATTTATTCAACACACTCCAGAGAAGGAGTACAGTATCGAAAAAGCACGTGATGAGTTCTTGGGTCACATCAAGACTTTCACTGTACAGATGGACCCCGAAGGTCCCTGGTTTTTGGGCAAGACGTTCAGTCTCGTGGACGTGATGATTGCCCCTTGGGCCATGCGCCTGTTCCTATTCGATCATTACAAGCCAGGAGGACTTGGCATTCCCTCTGAAGGGGAGAGTGGCGATGATGAGGCGGTATGGAAGAGGTGGAGGCAATGGTACGATGCTATCAAAGAGAGGGAAAGCGTAAAGGATACGCTTAGTGACGAGGATGCCTATATTGAGGTGTATAAACGGTACGCCGAGGATAAGACCAACTCAGGGGTGGGACAGGCAACAAGAGGCGGAGGAAAACTGCCTTGAGGAGATCTCTGTGATCAACAGCGACTATACAACCCGCCACTATCTACCCCATATGGTCAAGGTAGCCGGTAGTATTTGTATAGACCCCTCAACGGAGCGAATGCCGGGCTTATACCAACCCCTTGGTTTCGCTTTTCCGGCAATGCATCTGCAACTAGTCATCAACTGATCACTGGACCATTTCACTTAGTCAAAGGAATCAAGGGGTGCTCCGTGATAGGACCTAGGCCGAGTCCCCGCGATGCTCGTATCGCTCGGCGCATTTTTCGTACCTGCAACCCGGTGCCCCGACTTAGACTATCATCGGCCCCCTCTCCGACTCAACCCATCCGGATTCGAAACCGACCAGTCGCTCAAAGATCCGTCCACCCCCACAAACATAACCCAAAACAATCGGATTCCAAGGCCGGTTTTGGTTTCAGCGAATCTTCAATCTAGCCCGTCATCATGGGCCCCCGAAATGTGCCACCGGAAGCGCACACTGCATGCACACCTATCTTTGTCACCTCGTGACAGCCAGACATGAATGCCTGTGCTATCTTACCCCGCGTTGTTAAGCGGGGTATCGATAAGCTGGCATCAGAAATCCACGTGGCTGTGTGTCTATTGAGTTTCCAAAGGAGTATACGCATTCTGACACTTCCGATGTCGTTGGGAGCGTCTGATGGATCAGCTATGCGTTGGTGTGTAGGAAGGGGATCTGGTACGGCTCACCAGGATGGACCACGATGTGCCACATGCCACATCATAAAGGCAATGCGTCCGCTCTAGTAGATACCATTGAGTTCAAGTCAGAATAATCATCATCACATCAGTAATTCTCACGATGAAGCCTTCATACTGCAAATCCTCCCTCACGGCAGGAAAGCCTGTTAGCCGCCATGTCACAACCGCATTTTCAAAGACGACTAGACCAAGGTCACTCTCTACAGCACCCCTAGTTGCAGACAAGGCGACCGGTATTGCCGCACCTTCTACTTTGGCAGCTCTGCCTACACCAGTTCTCATGAGGTCTCTTTTGGTCTCTGCCATCTCCTCAAAGCCAATGCTCCTCGGCCCTTCACTCGCAGCCCTATCATTTTTCACAAGGCCAAACAGAGGATTCTTCACAGATGTCGACAGAAACCCCGTTCTTCACTCTTTGCTCAAGAGCGTTTTCTACAAGCAGTTCTGCGCTGGTGAGACACCAAAGGAGACGAAAGAGACTATGCGGCACCTAAGGTTTATGGGTTTCCGCGGTACAATCCTCACATACGCGAAAGAAACCATTTTTGATGCAAAGACGAACGTGGAGCACGGCTTGGGCATCGAGTCGGAGGACATGACAAAGGGCGGCCTCGATTCTACCATCGAATCCTGGAGGCAGGGTGTCTTGGAGACTGTCGATCTACTTGGTGATGGCGATCAACTTGCTCTCAAGTAAGCCTACACCACTTATACGCCTTCTGATACCTGAAAACGTGCTAATATCACCAACTCGCAGACTTACAGGAGCCGGTCCTCGTGTCACAGAGGCTTTTGCCGCCAGACAGCTGCCTCCCCAACAAATGATGCAAGCCCTCGAAGAAGTGAGCCAAAGATGCAAAGACCGTGGCGTCAGACTCCTTCTTGACGCCGAATCTCAACACTTCCAATGGGGCATCTTCCTTGCAGGCATGGAACTGATGCGCAAGTTCAACCGCGACGGCTACGCTACGATTTACAACACTTACCAGGCATACCTCAAGAGCACCCCGACCACCCTAGCTAAGCACCTAGAGATGGCCAACCAAGAAGGCTTCACTCACGGCTTGAAGCTAGTCAGAGGCGCCTACATGGGCTCAGACGAGCGGTCCCTGATTCATGACACAAAGAAGGACACCGATAACGCCTACAACAGCATCGCGCAGGGCGCCCTGAGGCGGCACATTGGAGAATATGGAGCACCGGGCGGCAAGCCGTTCCCATCGCTCAACCTCTTCCTGGCAAGTCACAACAAGGAGAGCGTGGTCACGGCGCACAAGCTCCACCAGCAGAGGCTAAAGGAAGGACTCCCGACGGTGCCGGTCGGTTTCGCGCAGCTGCAGGGCATGTCGGACGAGGTCAGTTTCTCGCTGCTGGCGCTCAAGGAGGAGGGAAGCCAGGACCCTTCGCCGCAGGTGTGGAAGTGCTCGACGTGGGGCAGCATGGGCGAGTGCGTGGCGTATCTTTTGCGGAGGGCGGTGGAGAACCGGGATGCCGTTTCCAGGACGGTGGACGAGTATGCGGCGCTCAAGGCGGAGGTGGGCAGGAGACTGCGATCTAGATTCTTCCGGTCTCGGACTGTTGGCTAAAGATAGCAAATCGATCTCTCTTCGTTAATCGTTAATCTTATCTGACATGTGTGGGTCTCTCGTGATATGTTCCGAGTCGTATGTAGTACACAATGTAGACTGCCGTGACTCCGTGGAGTTAATGTTGTGTCGGATGGCCTCCCGTATATCAACCCCACTTGATTAGCTTCATGGCGGGGGATCTCCCGTTCAGCGCCGGTGTGAGGGGTAGCTACTAGGACCAGGGTAGCTTTATCGTACCTGATTCACATCAAGACAGTAGGAGGGGCATTTCATCAGTTCAACTCAGAGCAGTCGATCGAAAAGGGTATTGAGACCAACAACGACTTGCACCAAGCGAGAGTCCGCTCAGATTTCTCTCAACCTCCAGCTTCCCATCAGCCGGCAAACAGTACACATCTCACATTAGACCACCAAAGTCAATATGGAAGCATTCAAAGATGTCAAGTTGTGTATTTTGGGTTGTGGTAAGTAACTATCATATGCAATTGATCGTCTCCGAATTAAGGTACGTATGCTAATCAACCGGTACATAGGTAACCTAGGAATTCCCATTCTCAAATCACTGCTAGAAGACAACACCCTTCCCATCACACAATTCATCGCATGCGTTCGAAGCGAAAAGTCGGAAGAGGCCCTAAAGACACGTTTCTCCCATGCGGGAGACAAACTCATTGTTTCGAGGGGCGACAACATTGCGGCCTTGCAAAAGTCGGATGTTATAGTGCTAGGAGTGGATCCCGCCGATGTTGAGGAAGTTTTGTCCAAGCAGGGCACGAAAGAGGCCTTGAAAGACAAGCTTTTGATCAGTGTAGCCGCAGGCTGGACTAGAGGCAAGCTGGAAGCTACGATATACGGAAGTGAGACCACATCCGAGAACACAGAGGGCCGGGCATGGGTTGTTCGGACGCTCCCCAACATTGCGGCGATGGTCTCTCAATCCCTCACTGCGATCGAGATTTCGGAGCCAGCAGTGCCGGCCAAGTACATGGAGCTCACCGAAGCCATCTTCAACAAGATTGGTAAGACGGTGAAGATTGCACCAAAACTGATGAATGCTACGACCGCCGTGGGAGGCTCTACCCCTGCCTTCTTTGCAGTCATCGCCGATGCTCTCATCGATGCTTCCGTTGCCGTCGGTGTTCCAAGGGATCTTGCGCAGACTATGATCTTCCAGTCTATGCTGGGTAGCGCGACACTCATGCAGAACGGACTGCAACCAGGCAGCCTGAGAGATCAAGGAACATCACCGGAAGGGTGCACAATCGGAGGCCTGATGGTCTTGGAGGAAGGGGCTGTAAGAGGGCATCTTGGAAAGGCTCTGAGAGAGGCAGTGACAGTTGCTCGTCTCATGGGTAGCGATCCTCACCCCAACGAT